GCATCAGAGACCTGCAGAGGTACCATTTGTACGGCCCGGCCCGGCCCAGATTAAAAAATTTTCGGCCCGGCCCGGATTTTTTTTTCAAAAATTTTTTACGGATTGGCCCGACCCGGGTTTAAAAATTTTAGGCCGGGCCCGGATTTTTTTTTCAAAAATTTTTTACGGCTTGGCTCGACCCGGGTTTAAAAATTTTAGGCCCGGCCCGGATTTTTTTTTCAAAAATTTTTTACGGCTTGGCCCGACCCGGGTTTAAAAATTTAGGCCCGGCCCGAATATTTAAAAAAAAATTTTGGGGGCCCGGCCCGGCCTAGATTTAAAAAAAATATTTTTAGGCCCGGCTAGGAATTTTTAAAAATTATATTCGATCTGGTATATTCAAAAAATTCATTATTTCGTATTTTGTCATATTTTTCGGCGAGTATTATCATTTAATAAGCAAGTATATAATAATGTTGTTAAACGGCTCGTTTTGAGCCGATTTTTAAAAACGGCTAACTCAATATTTTCGCCAGAAAAATATTGAGTAAGCCTCGAAATTTCGATACTATATGTCTAGACCTTTGCTCCTTCTATGAGCAAAATTTTCAGGCTTGCATAATATTTTTCTGGATATTATTTTTTTTATTCTAAACAGATATTTAGTATATATTACAAATACTATGTATTTATAAAAAAAATAAAAATGATATTTTTAATAAAAAATATAACATATATATTATATATTATATAATAATGTATTTAATCCTTTGCGTATTTATTCCATGGCAGGAAAACTATAATTTTATTATGTAATAGATACTATGAGTGTTAGCTAGTGATAACTTTCACCAAACATTATGTTAATCATAACTATATATAATCATTATAACCATATCTAATTGACGAATATAATAATTCATGTTGTATAAATTTTTTAAAAAAAATACGGCCCGGCCCGGCCCTGCCCGGGTATTTTAAAAAAAAAATTTTCAGGCCCGGTCCGGGTATATTTTAAAAATTTAAAATACGGCCCGGCCCTCTCTGCTTTGCACGAACACGTATGATTTTAAACAAACAATTTTATTTGAGGGGGGAAGGGGAATATAGGATTAATTTTTTTACTAACATAAAATGTTATTTAAACGCAAATTTGGGAGTGGGAGTGTTTTCCTGCTATATTTTCCACACGGTTACGCCTAGGCTATAGAGGCCATTTTGTCAATCCAACTTATTTTTATCTCGAAAGTTTATCTGTCTGGTATTTGTTTTGTATTATAGCGAACTAATTGAGCGTTTGCGTTTTGCGCATTTCAAATTGTGTCGTTGCAAATTAATCAAAATTTATAAAAACACAAACTAGTTTGCCTTTTTTTCCAAAACGCTAAATTTGGTCTCACTATTATACATTCGACGAGCTTTGTCACGCTAATCTTTCCTTTCCGATAATTTTGCAATTTTTTTTCTTCATTATTTCTATCCTTACATTCATTCAATTGCATTTTATTTTTAAATCTCCTCTTTTTTTTGGCATAATCATTAGCGATTTTATAAATCAAAAAATTGTATCGCGTTTTTGAGAAAATTTAAAAAAAAATGAAATATTGTTTAGGCGGGAGGGGGTGGGTAGTGTCTAATCCTTAAAAATTATAGGATTAACTAATAATTTCGAGGAGGTAAAAAAAAATATTAATTTTCAACCTTTAAAAAAAAATTTGTAACTCCTATACTAGCATATCAAAAAAAAATACACGCACCTATAAATTATATCGATTTTATTTTTAAACAAAAAATATAATCAATTAATAATTTCAATTTTATTCTCATTAATTTTTCCGAATTAATTTTGTTTTTTTTTGTAACGCAAAAATTATCATCTCCTTGGCATTTTTTGTATTTAAAAAAAAATATCGATCAAAATTTATGTAAGGAATTTTAAAACATTTCAAAAACGTCGTCTATAAACGTCTGGCACCTGCGTTTGTAGAATGTTTCCTGCTTTTAGCGTTTTTATTTCCGGTTCTTCAGATATATTACGTTTCACCTTGTTTCTTGATCTTCTGAGAACATGTATGCGAGTCAAGGGATTTACTTGAGGTTATTTGCCTCGGTGTCATTGTCAACTTTTTATGTTTTCGTTTATGATTTTATGTAGGTGACGAATGAAAAGCATACCATGTGACCTAAAAATTTGCTCTGTCAACGTAAGCAACTTTTCAGTTATACTCAGACGGAGCATTTCATTTCTCACGTGATCATATGATCAAAAATATTATTTTTATTACCGGTTTATTAATACATTTTTTTTAAAAAAAATATGTAAATTTTATGACGTCTATACATATTTTTTTGTACGGATTCTCTGTATTATAGATCTTCACCAAAAATTTAGGCCCGGCTAAAAAATATGTCCGAGTACTTGTTTAAGATTAAGGTCATGTCGAACTCAAACCTATTCACTACATAAAATCACAACCTTATATGTAGTGAGGTTTAAAAAAACAAAAAAAAACACATAAACGAGGAAAAAAACACATAAACGAGGAAAAAAACACATAAACGAGGAAAAAAACATTCTTGTGCCCCTCCCACTACCCATGTCACGATACAACCTCCCGGACTCATACTTGTCGAAGTTTAACCCATTCTTTTTGGGCGCATTAATAATTTGAGCAATATTATAACTCTCAAATCCAAAAACTAGTGTTGTTAAACGGCTCGAAACGATTAACCCATTATTTTTAGCCAAAAGAATATTACGCGAGCCTGGAGATTTTTGCTCGTAGATGGCTGAAAGGGTTGGGCATCTAACTTAAAGAAATATCGAAGACTGTGTTATAATATTTTAGTTAAAATCTTAATTTAAAAATGATCTAAATCAAAAGCCGTTTAACAACACCTTTCAAAACATTATTTTTAGGGGAAAAAAATAGCATTGTAACATATTTGAATATTTGAAGAATACTGAAAATCTAATAACATTTTTTTTTCCTTCAAAAATAACTAAATTAAAATTCCATTTCCACCTATCCTTTGTTACATTTTTTTTTATACAAGGTTATATTTTATAAACACAATCGAAATCCTACCAAACATTAAAATATTGAATTTATTTTATATTAAATAAAACGTTCTCTCGTTGGATAATTGATTTTATTACTTAGTTCGTATAACGAAAACAGAAGGTGGGAAGAAATGTGATCAAGATTAAAAAAAAATACAGAATAATTGCGAATAAATGTTTATTTATTTTTTGTAACGACAAATGTATATATTTATTGATAATCGCTCAACTTCAAGGAATGTTCAAGTGAAGGAAATTATTTAGTTGGGGGGATAATAAATACTTAAAATCAAACAGGTATCTGAAGTAAGGAGTAGAATTAAGGGAGCTATGGGTTGCCCTGCGTTGCAGTTAACGCGAATTCGAGGCGGAGGCAGGGTTAGGGTTATTCAAAGGTTTGAGGATATGGAATATAGGGTTTAGATTCCTTTTTATTATTGAACCTGTCGAATAGTGTTGTTAAAAAGCCTGATTTTAGCCAAAATAATATTATTATTATAAGCCTAACGATTTTGCTTATAGGCAGAAAGGTTTGGACCTCTATTTGTCACATTTCGGGGTTTTCTTAATAGAAAAGGGCCATTTTTAAAAACCGACTTATATCGGGTTTTTTAACAAAAATACTCTTAAACTTGATAGGTCATGTGATTATAAATAGACGAATAGAAATTTAAATAAATCAGATATTGTACGTCATTTTCTTCGCTATCTTTCTATCCTAAATCGATTTCCCGATCCCCATATATTCCATAGTGGTTAAGGGTTTCGTTATAATCCATCGAAATTGGTAGAGACCCAACAGAAGTCGCATTTTTTTGCCCGGTCCCATTTTAAACATATTGATCATTTTACGGGTCGGGTTTTAAAAAATCCCGTCCTTTCAAATTATTTTAAAAGCTAATTGAAATTGTGAGAAATAAAAATATGCAAAATCATCTATCATATGATTTTATTTTCTAACCGGTTATAAATATGTATTATTATTTTTTTGAATTCGCCCCGATCCGGGTTTTGTAATCTAGGCCGATTTTCAAAAAACGCCCCTGTCCGACTAATAACATATGGGCAGGAAATGGGATGATTTTCTTTTCATTTTCAGTGCCTTGAAAATCGGTCTGCCTCGGTCAGGTGGTTATTAACCATAGCTAAATGCTGATTTTGCTCTTATTGATAGCACCGCGGGAAAAGTAAAATGTACCAATTTCTAAAAATAATGGATGGTTTTAAATTAAGAATAACGCATTTATAACAAAATGGTTTTATATTCGATGTGCTCTATTTAAAAATACTACAGCTCGACTATATAACCGTTTAGTTATGGCCCCGGGTTTTACGATTCCAATTTTATCGGTTTCGGGTTTAACTATTTGATTATGATTCCCGAACAACGGTTTATTTATTTGGTTAGTTTTGGTTAGCGTAACGTAACCTAAAAAAAATACTGTCCAATGAATAATATAATTATGAGATATGCATTTATTCCGAATTATATTATTAAATATAAAACATGAGATATGTCTACTCATGGAAACGATTTAATTATGATTGAGTTCACCGTTTCGATCTCTTAAATCTCGTCCTAGTTCACTTCTTAAACGCTGCTTTAAAACGCTTTCGTTAATCGTTAGGAGTAGTGTTGTTAAACTGCTCGATTTGAGCCGATTTTTAAAAACGGCTAACTCAATATTTTATCTAGAATAATATTACGCAAGCCTGAAGATTTTGCTCATAGATAGCACAAAGGTCTAGACATCAATTAGTGAAATCTCAAGGCTTAGGCAATATTTTTTTGAATAAAATATTGAATTAGCCGTTTTTAAAAATCGGCTCAAAACGAGCCTTTTAACAACACTAGTTAGGAGTCAGAAAACCAAAAAAGACATATTTTCTGTTGATTTTTTTTTTTTCGTTTTTGGAATAATTTTTTTTTTTTATAAAAAAAATATTAAAATTTAAGATATTCGAATGGTGGTATTTCCGTAAGTACGGCACCTCATTCATCGAACAATTTTCCCTGAACCATCTCTCCCCCTGGTTCGGGGCCAATTCCGGAGCGGGAGAATTCAACGATACCGAGGGAGACTTATCGACTTCTACCGGCGCGAACGCGAATAGCAATAATCCGGTTCAGAACTCCAATCATTTGCCCAACGGGCATGGAACCAGTAACGGTTTTTTTTAAAAAAAAAATTAGAATAAAATTTTAATTCACTAAAAGAAAAAAAAAGGGGAAAGAAGTCCAAAACTGATTTAACTTTTCGTTAACAATCTAGTATATCTATATCAGAGTTCGAAAAAAAAAAATTAAGGAAGAAAGATTTTTGAGATATTTTACCTTTAAAAACACCAAATATTTTAAATGAAATATACATATTTCAGTAATTTTTAGTCGTAAATATCTTTCAAGATTGAAATCCTTTGATCTGTATAATATGTCGTATTACGATACCTAATCTAGTGTTGTTTAAACGGCTCGGTTTTAGTTAAGAAAATATTACGCGAGCTTAGAGATTTTACTCTAGGGTTTGTTGGACGTTCTATTACGAAATCTCGAAGTCTGCATAATATTTTCTTGGCTAAATTGAGCTATTTAACAATACTATTGGAATCCATGTTTTATTTTTTTTAAATCATATACTGAGGGCAATTTTTGTTTTTGAAAAAAAAAAGTATTCGACGGTAAATGTATTCCTGTTAAGTGCCCTACCCCACATTAACAACCAGCCCGAATTCGCGGCTAAATATCAAAATTCATTTTTATATACTACGCCGCGAATGTTGGGCTAACTATGAATGCAGGGTTATGCCATATGAATTTTGGGCATTTTTGCCATTAACTTTTGACTATCTATTTTTTAAAAATTAAAATTAAAAAAAAATTGGTATAAATTAATAAGTAGTTTATTAAAAATTCACGGCGAAAATAGCTGAAGGTGTGCGGGTAAACTCTATACGGGCTGAAATATGATTTTGGTCAAATCAGATTTCTCAAAGTTGGCACTCAGTAAAATGATTTAAAATTATTACAACCCCTCCCCCTTTCCATAGGTTCCATATTTGAATTTCGGTTTCGAATTATTTAATCCATGTCAGAAATTTGAAAAGCTACTGGGCCGGGCAAATATTCTTGATAATCACCGATTTGAAATTTGATTAATTATTATTTGAAATAACGATAAATAGCAACAATTATTTCTTTTCATTTATCTTGACGGTTTTGCGCATGCCTTATTTTATACAATTATATAAAATTGTAGTTTGAAAAGATTTCTTTTCATTGTGCCATTGTGTCCAAAGCATCGAAAAATTTAAATAAATAAGTTATTTTAAACATAAAAATACATCCAAAACATAATTGTAGAAAATTTCAAAAATTTTACCTTAAGATTTTCATTACGATTTTAAAATTTGCGAAAGTTTTATTTTTTTTATAAAGGGTTTTGGACAGAGCCTAAAGACATTTTTTGAGATTTAACGAAATCGATAACTTAAAATTAGTATAATTACAAATATGTCACAAATATTTGTTCATTATTGAAGGAACTATTTCTCTATCAATTCATCAAGGTAAATTTCTGATGTATCCATTATAAAATAAGGATATCATTGACGGACTATCCACTTTAAGATATAATTGTCCAATAAAAAAACTTTGGACAGGTGCCTTTTAATACATTAATATATACGAAAATTAAATCGGCTGATTTGGATGTAGGGTTTAAATGAGCGAAAAAAAAATTAAATTAATTGATGATTTATACGATACGACAGGTAATTGCTTGAACAGTAACAACGGGAATGGTAATTCGATATCTATATTCGGGTCCGCTACAACTTTTAGCACGGGTGGTAGCGGGGGAACTACCGGCTCTGGCGGTGGTAGCAATTTTACCTCGTCCAGCGGAGCCACTAATGGTACTGAATTTAACTTACATTGTTGTATGCTATATAGTAAAAGGCAGAATTTGATATTTAATTTATTTTAAAATTGACTTTATAGCATCTATCCTGTTTATCAATTGCTCTATTTTTGAGTCGGCTATTTTAGAAAATATAAGCTAAATTTTGATCAAAGCCGAAAATAAATTTAACTCTAGTCTCAATGCCTATCGGATTTTCTTTTTTTCCGCACGCGACTCTAGATTTAACCGATTTTTATCCATAACCCAACTTATAAGCGGATATTTTTAGATAATGTATCTCAAATTAGAATTATGGTGATGACTTAGTAATCGGATTTGAAGAAAAAAAATACATCTAATCAGATTTCTTTAGTAGTTTAAAAAATTTCCTTTCCCATCAACCTCAATATTGTTAAGGTGAAACATTCAGTTATTAAAACTTTGAACATTAAACAATTTCCCAGCAGTATGATACACAAAATCAAAAAAAAAAATGAATATTTAATTTATTTTTTTTTAATTATAATTAGTCATAAAAATTATTTTTTTTCTTTCTATTTGCAAACAAACCAAATATCGATTTTTTTTTAAAAAAAAAATTAAATTTAAAAAATATATCCAAGTTTTTAAGTTGACTAATTATTTTTATAAGATCTCGTTTGTGTAAAATGAATAAGATTCTTATATTATAAATATTTAAATAACCTTTTTTCTTAATTTATTATTTTTTGATAAATTAAAGTGTTAAATTTCAATTAACATAAATATATGAAATTTAATTTATTATTAATAAGCGAAATTGGGAGAAAAGAATGATTGGTATATTTAAAAACCGAGAAATTAGTATTCGATCATTACTAATTCTTCGATTCATAGACTAATATTCTCCTTAAAATACGTATCTAATGATCGTATTCGTGAAATACGAATGAAACAACGTAATTGGCCTTTAGACCTAGTGGGTACTAATGTTGAAGACGAAAAATTTCTCAAAATTGGATAGAAAAAAAGAAATATTTCACAGAATTTACTTGCAGGAAATATTTTTCGGCTTGTTACTAGCGATAACAAGAGTAATTCTGGAAAAGAGGGATTACAATATTTGTTGTTTTTATTAGACTTTGTATCCTTGTTGAAATAAAAAAATTTAAATCATTTGTATCTCTATATTTTTAAATATTACTCGACTAAAAAGAAAGGTTTTGATTTATAAATGCTCAATTTCATTTCATACTGATTAATTAGCAATACTCCAAAACAAAAATCATTTTAGAATGCAAAGTATGGCGCAACCCTCTTAACCTTTTCAGGGGAGCCGAATATAATAGGTATCATACGGCAACGGGACGTGAACCCTTGACATATTACGACATGAACCTGTCAGCCCAAGATCATCAAACCTTTTTCACTTGCGATTCCGACGCCGGAAAATCCGATTACGAAAGTTTTTATTAATTCTACTTACTCATCATCCTCCTTCATTCTTATTCATAGATCCATTGCTATCATATCACTTAAGCGATTTTCTTTTTAATGAATAAAAATCCTTTTTATCATCGAATAAGATCCTTTTTATCATCGAACAAGATTCTTTTTATTATCGAATAAGATCCTTTTATTACTTGAATAAGATCCTTTTTTATTTTGAATAAGATTATGGAAGATTAGCATGTCTGACTATTTAGGGTATTTATTAGATAACGTCGAACTGCACTGCAAACCTTCTTTTATCTTAGGAGTATATCTGTCCCTTACCAAAAATCTGAAAATCTCTTGTTTTTGTTTCTCTACTTGGACAATTCTAAAAAAAAACAGAAGGGCCCGCAGTGCTGCGGGCGATATATTTACGCAAATTTAAATGGACGAAGTTTTAGATAAAATCTCGATGTAATTTCCCTTTTTTTTGCTTTTCTCTTGTTAAACATTTAAAGGATGACCAATCGTAAAGTTCTTTCCAGGCCGTTTAAATCAAATCATAAAGTTTTATCTCTTCGCATAAATTTATGACAAAATATTTATTGTTTTATTATTTTTTTAAAAAAAAACAGTAATGCAAATAGCTTGGAGAGAACGTGATACCGCTACCAGGATAAAATTAGCTAAAGACGCCCTCCAAAAAAATTCGGAGTAAAAAAAAATAAATATATTTAATGAACAAGAATAAATAATATATAATAAATTGTGGGCGATTGTATAGAATAACTACGGAAGATTGAAGGTTAACAATATATCATCAATTGTAGAATGTGTAAACCGTGAAGATTAGGATATTGATAATTAAGTTCTTTATTTTCAACTAAGATCAAATAAAAACAAAAAAGTGAAAGTAATCATGATCATTTAAGTATATATACAAAATTAACATCAATTTAATATTAAATAAAAATCATTGTATATCTTTTTAAAACATCAATTTAATATTAAATATAATATAATATATCGTTTTAAGCCTTAAGTCTTCTACAATACAAAATCCATTAATAAACATTGTTACTTGTATTTAACAATATTAATAATAAAAATGATTGTAAAATTAATAAAAAAAAATTTTTTTAGAAGTGAATCACAATTTCTAAATATCAGCTGGTTTTTTTTTGTATTGATAGATGCTTTTAAGAAATTTTGATGATGGTAACTTAATCAAAACCCCATTTTCTAAAAGAGGTCCCAACTCGCTCCGGGTCCATATCACCCCGGATTGATGGGTTGCCCATAAATCGGTCTATATTTGGTCTGCGTTCTCAAAATGTCCAACCAAACGATTTTAAATTTATGGATCCAATTCGGGTTCAGAACCCAGCGTTTTAACCCTTAAATTAAATATTTAATTTTTCCATTATTATATATAGATGCCCTCCCGCTTTAATCTTACTGGCCGAAGAAGAAGCCTCCACCATTATTGAAGTTTTATTTTATTATATCTGTTGTTACTGACGATATATACATTTTTAATACCGAATCGGCTCTAGATTACGCCATATATTTAAATTGGCCCACCGCTATTCAAAAAATGGCGCGAATTTTTAAATTTATTATTTTACAATTGTTAATATGGAATCATGGAAATTTATATATATATATATTTTTATTTCCCTATTGGAGCCCCAAAATTGTTTTATACATATATATTTTTTGGATTATTCTAATTCCTTAACGACCCCCCCCCCCCCCCCCCATAATATTATATATTTGATCGGCCTTTAAAAAACCTTGCACCTTGATCATTTATGAATAACCAGAATTATAATTTTCAACTACGTTTCATTCAAAATACTGCCAATATTGCATTCCTTTTTTTTTTATAAAATAACCCTATATAATTTTTTATTTTTTTAAACAAAAATAATTCAAAGGCCGAAAAAATTCTGAGGCAGGCTCTTAAGTTTGCTGAAAATAACTACAAGATATCTACTCTTCAACAAAGCAACAACGGACACCATCACGGCCACAGTCATCACAATCTTGTTTCGGAATCCACTTTGAGTAAAATAATTTTCGCTTATGATGTTTCTTTCAAAAAGGATCACTAAATTTAACATATTAAACAAATGACACTATATAAATCTAAAAACTGTAAAAATGGGAAAACATGGATTGCTACCTATATCTTTTTTTAGGAAAAAATTTTCTCCTTATTTGTTGTTCATGAAGAATATATGGGAAAAAGATAAGGAATATATTCATGCGGGGGACAATTAAGAAAATTAATAATTAGGTAGCAGCAAAGGAAGGACAGAAGAGAAAACCATTTAAGTTCCAACATGTACAGATCATCAAATTCATTCATTTATTAAAAATGTTAAATTACATCAACAATATCTTTATTAGGGCGCGACACGAATTTGTGCGTTTACATTCGACGTAGATTGGCGATGTGTCTTAGAAAATTGGGCAAATATAAGGAATGCATCAAAATGATGAGAGATGTATAAATTTATCCTCAAAAATATATTTACATTCTATTATATATAAATTACTGGGTATTTTTTAAAATTGTTTAAAAGAAATTAGAAAAAATAAATGAAGTTTTCTATCATTATTAACACTAGGCAGGTAACTCCATCTTTGATATTTTCTAATATTTGTTGCACAGTTAACTTAATCTTGTTTTACATACCACATACATTTTCTTACATTGTATTCTTATGATTAAAATTTTATATATTTTTTTTTTTTAAAAAAAGTTAATCAAGGAATTCCCAAATATCAACGTTCTAAATATACACGAAAATCTGATCGAGGTCTTGTTAGAAATGCAAGCTTATGCCGATGTGCAGGCACTACTCATCAAATACGATGGTTTTTTTAAAAAAATATATAATGTTTATAAAATATGCATTGGGAGGGGGGGGGGTATATAAAGAAAAAGAATAAATTGGATATTATAAGTGAAGAACAGAAAGAAAATAGCTTAATTTATGTTAAAATTTGGTAAAAAGGGCATTTTGTCCTGTCGCCCTTTTCCCTAGCACACATAATAACCGATTTGTATTATTAAGCAAATATACTATAATTTTTTTCATGTATATTTTATTGTCTATAGTATCTGTATTCCCACTAAGGACACTTAATATTTAAATAAGTTTTTTTTAAAATGTAATTATATAATAATGTTAAGTTATCTAATTCGAAAAGTTTCTTTTTTAAAAAAGACAACTAATATGAAAACAAAAAACTCCTGTTTTATCAGGATAAAAAGCTTACTTGCCCAGAAAAAAAAATACAAATTTCTCAGGTATAAAACTGAAACGCTCAGATTAAAAAAAGATGAAACGCTCAAAATAATATACGAAACGCTCCGAAAAAAATAGTCTCAGATTTTAAGAAGCATATCTGCGAAATTCAATAAAAATTATAAGCGAAAACAAAAATAGTCCCTTAGGTCAAACTGGGCACTGAACCATGAATACAGGAGAATGACATAGCACTTATTTCATTAAAGGAAGACAGAGAATTAGTTTTGGATTATACATACTAATATGCATTTCCCCGTCAACAATTCCCTTCCTAACTCCATTATTCTAATGGAGATATGAAAATTCCACTACCGTAACATCTTATGAAAAATTGGAGATCCTAATAGATGCTTTATTCTTGTTCTGCATTCACTGTTAGCACGAATTCGCGGCGAAGTATATATAATATCCATAGCTATACGCATATCCGATCTGCTATTCGTGGTTCAATGCCCGCTTGATTGTAAAGTTATATATAATGGTATATATGTTTAGCCTAAACAATTCAATTATAATAATACCATATTTTTGGATTTTGATCTTAAAAAATTCATAATGACCAATATATTATTTTTTAAATGTATAATTATTAATAATGACAATGAATAATAGAATGCACCTAATAATTATGAGTTAAATTGAATTAATTATTCCCACATTCTACAACGAGTCTACAACTCTGTGTAAGCCAGTATAGGTTATGTACAGATTACTTTTTTATTATTTTATTACTAAATCTTCATAATTCTTTTATTTATTTATCATTTTACGAAAGATATCAGCATGCCTAAATCAGCGACTATATGCTACACTGCCGCTCTGCTAAAGGCCCGTGTCATTTCCGACAAGTAATTTTAAGAAATATTGTAAATTTCATGTGTAAAATAACTAATCAATTTAAAATATTAATTATATTTTATATACCCATAATCTAGAATCAAAAATTTACCACCCTATCCAACTAATATAAATAAATCATAATTGCAAAAAAAATAGATTCTCCCCAGAAATAGCTTCTAAAAGGGGTCTTAACAATGCCGAGATGAGTGCCGTTGAGGCTATTCATCGTGCTGTAGAATTTAATCCCCACGTTCCCAAGGTTAATATTTTATATTTTAAAGCTATCAAAATATTTTTTTTAAAAATTCTTGTTATAAATTTGATAGATATGAGTGAGCGAAAGTTTATAAATAATTTATTCACAACTGTTCGAATCTTTAAATGATTTCGGGTTTAAAATGTAAGGGTAGGTAACTAATAATGTATTACATCTCTTTTGCCTACTCCATGTTTCTTAATAGTCGCTATATATTTTATATAATGGCTCCCTAATAAGTAAATCGATGACATTTATGATAAACTGAACGATTCATTTATTAAAGGTGTACATAGAATGAAGTCAGCTGAAGTCAATATCATTGGCTCTAGTCGACGCCACAATATATGCACTATCCGCAAATCCCGGCCCGAGGTCCGAAGTCCTATTTTAAAATATAATTTCGGTTCGGGCCTAATATTTTTTAAAATTTAATTGATACATTTTAAAATTTTTGTAAAAACTAAAGGCACCCTTATTTTTTTATTTGTAAATATTTTTATTTTTAGAATTTAAAGAATATTAAATTTTTCTACATTTAAATAAATTCGGCCGGGCGGACAAATAATGTTTGGGTGATCGAGCCGGGCCGAACAAATATTTTTATAAAATTTTTTGGACAATCTTAAATTAGCTCTGATGCAGTTCACTATTACGAATGAATGAATCACAAGTCTGGCTTGATATTAAAATTTTATTACAACAAACTAGTGCAATTTTTATTTGGAAAAAAAAAATATATATTTGAACCGCATCAGTGATAGTAATAAATAGTAGTATCTAATATTTCACTCAAGGCTGTATACTGCATTTTATCATTATTGGGATATTTTGTAAAAAAAAATTATTTGTTTTTGTTTTACAAATATGTTTGTATCAAACATTTCTTATAAAAAAACCTTGTCATTTTATGACGGGTTGACCGGATATGAGTGTTAGAATATCTTATATATTAGGCTTGTTAAACGAGTCACTCCAGATCAGCGTCTACATGGCAGAAAATTTGGTGGAGGCAAACCCCTCCAAAATCTACCCATACCCACCTAAAAACTATCCCGCGGCCTTCGGCCGCGAAATTTACAGACCTACGACGATGGTATAGTGATTTTATTTAAAAAATCTTATAATAAGCCACTATTTATAACCTTACAACATAATTCTATTTACAATCTTTCAGCCTATTTAGGGAAAATTTTTTTTAAAAATTTGTAGGTGATAATCAACTTATATTTAAATGCAATCTTTTCATAATTTGGTAGATATTCACTTTGTTTCCATAAAATATATATAAGTGAAACATATTAATATTTCTATAAAAAAGATCTAAAATATTGTAAAAAATATAAGACGAATAAATTTAAAGAGGTATATTTAGCTTGATTCTACATATCTATATTACCTTTTAATTAATTAAAAACATGTATTGTAAATAGAGCTATTATATAAAATATTAGAATAAAATGAATTATAGTATATTTTGCATTGAAATTATAAAATGTTAAATTAAATTTACATATTTTAAAAGCGTATATATTCGCTGTGAAAAAGATACATTACTTATTTTATTAATAATCTGGATAACTTTATAGATGTTAATGCAAATTGTGTTATAATATCATCAATTGTAAATTTTTCAAAAACATCAATTTCGCTGGATATTAACATTAAATTTTCTAAAAATGGGTCCGAAATTTTATTCCGCATTCGAGTTTTGTTAATCTTTATTTTACTCATGGCTCTTTCGGCTGAACAGGAAGTTGTAGGAAGGGTTAATAAATATTTATAAAATAAATTTAAATTAGAATAAGAATTTAATTGATTTAAAAGTCGGTATGGTAATATAAAAGAATATTTTATCCATTTTTTTAATTTTGGTCATGATTTCGCTGTTGATATTTTCTTCGGTAGTTTGAACGTTTGCAATACCTTTAATTATATACAATTACAAATAAAATATCAATAAATTACTTTCATCGATATATAACGCGTCATTCTTTTTAACTTTTAAAAGATCTTCGAAAAAAATGATTGATTGAGACTCCAAATATAAAGAGCGAAAATCATTATATTCATCAACAATGTTTTGGACATCCAATTGATAAGTATGACAAATTTCGGATATTTGCCATCCTTCTATTTTTTCATTATCCATAATTCCAGCGGGAGTAAAAATGGATATTTGTGATAAAAAATTTAAACAATCATAATTAAATCGATCATTTACGTTGTTAATTATTGCATTTAGCACAGGGAAAAATATTTCCATTCTATATCTATAACAATAAATAATAATTTAAAATTTTTTAATTTATTCAACTTGTTGTTTTTTTGTTCAACATAATTATTGAATTCTGTTTGATCCAATTTGAATATTGATTTCATATTATACAAATCAGTTATTACATTATTCTTTTTCAAAAAACTATTAGATAAGGAATGTAATTTTAAAAATATATTGTCTCCATTAGCTATATTTTAAAATTATTTATAGAAATAGTAACTAATATTAACCTTTTAGTCTTTGTAATTTATTTTTTGTATATTGTATAAATTTGGTTACCATTGCCAAATCATTACCAACTGCCTGCATTTCAATACAAGCCTCATGTGTACATTTCAATATATCTTTTAAAATAAATAGACTTAATATAAAATTTTCATCCTTAATTCTTGATAATAATCCATCGGCAATGGAAGAGGTGCTTGGGTCATTAGAATCTTTTAATTCAACTAATGATGCTAAAATATGTTCATAAACATCTAAAAAGATTTCTACAGATTTGTAGGTTGCATCTGCTAAATTTAGTAGTTGCTCATGTTTGTGGATGCAAAATTGAAATGGAAAAGGCAATGGGAATATTAGATGAGTTATATAATTTTATGAATGGAGTTAGACGTCAAGGTGTGTTTGTTAAATATCAAATGAGAAAGTCCAAGAAATCTCTTAAAAGAATTAAAAACACAACAAGGTAAATAAAATATTTTTAATGAAACGTATATATTTTCAGAAATTGGTATCATCTTCCAAATCTGTAGAAATTTTTTTAGATGTTTATGAACATATTTTAGCATCATTAGTTGAATTAAAAGATTCAAATGACCCAAGCACCTCTTCCATTGCCGATGGATTATTATCAAGAATTAAGGATGAAAATTTTATATTAAGTCTATTAATTTTTAAAGAAATATTGAAATGTACACATGAGGCTTGTATTGAAATGCAGGTAGTTGGTTATGATTTGGCTATGGTAACCAAATTAATACAATATACAATAAATTACAAAGACTAAAAGGTTAATATTAGTTACTATTTCTATAAATAATTTTAAAATATAGCTAATGGAGACAATATATTTTTAAAATCCATTCCTTATCTAATAGTTTTTTGAAAAAGAATAATGTAATAACTGATTTGTATAATATGAAATCAATATTCAAATTGGATCAAACAGAATTCAATAATTATGTTGAACAAAAAAACAACAAGTTGAATAAATTAAAAAATTTTAAATTATTATTTATTGTTATAGATATAGAATGGAAATATTTTTCCCTGTGCTAAATGCAATATTTAACAACGTAAATGATCGATTTAATTATGATTGTTTAAATTTTTTATCACAAATATCCATTTTTACTCCCGCTGGAATTATGGATAATGAAAAAATAGAAGGATGGCAAATATCCGAAATTTGTCATACTTATCAATTGGATGTCCAAAACATTGTTGATGAATATAATGATTTTCGCTCTTTATATTTGGAGTCTCAATCAATCATTTTTTTCGAAGATCTTTTGAAAGTTAAAAAGAATGACGCGTTATATATCGATGAAAGTAATTTATTGATATTTTATTTGTAATTGTATATAATTAAAGGTATTGCAAACGTTCAAACTACCGAAGAAAATATCAACAGCGAAATCATGACCAAAATAAAAAAAATGGATAAAATATTCTTTTATATTACCATACCGACTTTTAAATCAATTAAATTCTTATTCTAATTTAAATTTATTTTATAAATATTTATTAACCCTTCCTACAACTTCCTGTTCAGCCGAAAGAGCCATGAGTAAAATAAAGATTAACAAAACTCGAATGCGGAATAAAATTTCGGACCCATTTTTAGAAAATTTAATGTTAATATCCAGCGAAATTGATGTTTTTGAAAAATTTACAATTGATGATATTATAACACAATTTGCATTAACATCTATAAAGTTATCCAGATTATTAATAAAATAAGTAATGTATCTTTTTCACAGCGAATATATACGCTTTTAAAATATGTAAATTTAATTTAACATTTTATAATTTCAATGCAAAATATACTATAATTCATTTTATTCTAAGATTTTATATAATAGCTCTATTTACAATACATGTTTTTAATTAATTAAAAGGTAATGTAGATATGTGGAATCAATCTAAATATACCTCTTTACATTTATTCGTCTTATATTTTTTACAATATTTTAGATCTTTTTTATAGAATTATTAATTGTTTCACTTATATATATTTTATGAAAATAAAGTGAATATCAACCAAATTATGAAAAGATTGCATTTAAATATAAGTTGATTATCACCTACAAATTTTTAAAATTTTTTTCCCTAAATAGGCTTGAAAGATTGTAAATAGAATTATGTTGTAAGGTTATAAATGGTGGCTTATTATAAGATTTTTTAAATAAAATCACTATACCATCGTAGATCTGTAAATTTCGCGGCCGAAGGACGCGGGATTTTTTTTAGGTGTGGGTATGGGTAGATTTTGGAGGGGTTTGTCTCCATCAAATTTTCTGCCATGTAGTCCAGATTATCACAAAACAGATAATACCTTAGGAAATTGACACTATATTCCATCTACCGAGAAAGGTCCTCAACGATTCATAAAATTGAATGGACGATATGGGTTCATTTAATTAAACCACGTTATAGACTTGTTAGTGGAGATCTGCTTGGACCGGAAACTTGTAAATCTGACTTAAAACCAGGGTTTGATAAGGAAACCCTCGTGCCGCGTCAAATTTAGAAATCATAACCAATTTCCCAAAATTGTATGGACCAAATAACCACTTTCTTAAAACATTCGTACAAGAACTCCCTTTCGTCAATAATTCAGTTTTTGCTTATAACAACTTCAATCTATGATATAACGATATTTTTTTATTCAAAATACTACCATAATTTTTTTGATTTTTATAAGATCATTTTTTTACAAAAAAAATGAAGAAAAAATATCGAATATATCAAAAAAGTTAATTTTTTTCTTTCTTTCTCTCAATTTTCAAAAACACACAATGTGTTTCAAATATAAAAATTTGTGAAATAAATTTCTAAATAAAAAAAATTTTCCATGTAAATGTAAAAATTAGCTATAAATTTAAAAAAGAAAATATAAAAAATTTTTTTTTTTAAATCGGAAATTTTAATTAAAAAATATTATAAAGATAGGTATAGGCATAACATCATTCTGGACGAAAAGGTTCTGGTCACGAATGCTTTAATAAGTGCTTCTCTACTATATTAGATAAATTAAATAGTTATTAATTAAGAGATTAATCATAATTTTTATTTTTAGTCAATCAAAACATAGCACATTACAAAAATACGTTTCGCCAAAACGAACAAAGGCGAAATGATCTTTATTTTAGAATAAATTAAGATATTTTTGAGTTATTAGATATTAAATTATTTCGTAAAAAACAAACCATAGTCGATATTTTTGAGTTATTAGATATTAAATTATTTCGTAAAAAACAAACCATAGTCGATTTTTTTAAGAAACCTAGGCCGGGTCGTGAAATTAATATCTTTGCAGGTCTCTGATGATGAAATATAGTTAGTCAATTCAATATCGTTCAACAATAATTTATAAGGAAAACGGATATTGCAATGAAATGAAATTGTGTTTATTTGATAACTTTTTTTCTAGGTTATTTTCTTTCGGGGCCTATAATCATAAAATTTGTTTTTAAATTTCTTAAAATCAAAATTTTACCAACCCTGTACATGTATTTTCTTGTTTAGTTTTCATACAAATTTATATGTTTTAATGGAATAATAAAAAGTTATAAATATTATTTTAAAAAAAAGTATTTGCTAGAGATGAAAAGTTTGGTTTTGCCGCCCGAACATATACTTAAAAGAGGAGATAGTGAGGCTTTAGCTTATTCCTTTTTTCACATTAACCACTGGAAACGGATAGATGGAGCTCTCAACTTACTTCATTGCACCTGGGAAGGAAGTTAAACTTTTTTATTGATAAATCGATTAGATATCTCTAAATTAGCTTTGTAAAAGAAAGAAGAATGAATGAAATATTGGATATGTATGTCTAATTGTTTAGACTTCTTTCTTTTTTTTGATTAATATTTTTTTACAAATATTTTTATTGATAATTTGCAACATAATTAGTCTCTTTTAACTATTAATATTGAATTAGGAGATATAAAGGTTTTATATTAATACACATTGTTAATTATAAGGGATTTAAAATGTATTATTTTGTTAAATTAAGCTTTTCGGCTTATACCCTATCCTCTCGAAAAGGGATATCTATTTTACCCTTATCCTCAGTGTACCGAATCCGCTGACAAGGAGCTATTGCCTCGTAAATTTTAATTTTTTTTATGTATGAATTATGCATTAATTGATCAAGCTTTATATTTCGAAATTTCAATTGGGCGATAGATATTTAAATTAACCTTTTATTGAAATAAATAATTTTAACTAGGAATTAAGATATCGTTTTAGACCCCAAAATTTGTCTTATAATGGAGCTAATTTATTTTGTTTAATAATAGAAATCATGTTTGATGATCAATCATAATTTTCACTCGAATCTGTTTTCTAGATTTTGCCTAATATAAATGTTACATATTATAAGGTTATGATTAGTTAGAACCCTGCAAGGACTGTCCGAAGCCCGACTAGAGCCAGCTCAGACATAGAATACTTTTTGATCTTTAGCTGTAAGAGGCATCCTGATCTGATGCCAAAATTAAATATTATAGATATATCCTCAATAATCTTTTTGTTTGATCGAAATGACAATCAGAATCATGTGTCATTTTTCATCTAACACATTAACAATTTCTGGTTATTGTGGTGACTAGTTAAAACTTTATTACTCCGGTGTAAAACCAAACTGCATTTCATCAATTTTCGTTTGTTCTTTTATCCGCTTCTCTTACACCGTTTCAAATACTTTCATTGCAAGTTCCAAGAATTTAATAGCTTTATAAGACTACAATCCAAAGGATCACCTTTCCCCTGTATATTGGAATAATTATACTTCTTCGCCAATCCTCGGGAATAGTTACTTTAGTGACAATTAGATTGGCTAAATTCATTTAATCCCTAAGTCATCAGAACCTTTAAACATTTCTGATACCACTATCGTTAAACCCGCATCTTTTTTAATGCTCTCTTAATTTCGTCATTGTCAAATTTACACCCGGACCTTCTACCTTTGCACATAACATCATTATCCCATTCATTCTCCTCTTTCCAAAGTCCTTACATGTAGATCTTCTAGGTTTTCTTAATACCACAAATATCAATTACCATTTTTTCAAACATTTATCACCTACCATATCCTGCCTCTTTTTTGACATCCGGACCACATTTCCCATTCCTTCCCTGCATTCCACTTCATTAGCAAACTCCTGCCTTTGTTCTTTTTGCGCTTTCGCTATTAATTTCTTGATATTCCTTTTTCACCACCTTGTAAATATTGTTATCACTATTTTCTTTACTATTATACCATTCTTTAAAGCACCTCCGTTTCTTGTCCACAGATTTCGCTACTTTCGGATTCTACCGTCTCCTTATGTCTAGGCGGCCCTTTTGTCTATCCACATACCTATTTAGTTATCCTCACCCAGGTTTTCTTAATGGCTTCCCATTTGTCATTTACCCTAGATGCTTGTGCCACTTCCACCTCTTTTATCGTCAATGTCATATTGAATTGACGTCCAGCACTCTCCTCCTTTAATTTCCAAACCTTCAGCCTTGGCACAAACTTTCTTTTAATGATCCTCTCGCCTTTAAAAGTGAGATCTACTATAACTAGTCGGTGCTGATCAATACATTCCTCTCCCCCGGTATCACTTTCACACACAAATAATTTACCACACTTTTAGCACTACCCATCTTGTAAGTCACCAGCTTCTGATGCTTTCTTAAACATTGTATTACAATCATACCCATAGCATCACTAAAGTTCTCTCCCCTTCCAGATTTCTCATGCCGTTACTAAATCCTCCATACTCCCTCATAACCATCACTACTCGCTCACACATGTCCATTCAGATCACCAACCAGGATAATCCCCTCTTCATTTGCTAGTCTCGATGTCACCTCTAATACTTTCCCAAAATGTATCTTTCTCTTCTTCCAAACTGAGGAACATATGGCGAAATAATATTGCATAGCTACCAAAAATCATCTTTATAATTATTATCTGGTTATCTAACTTCATACTTCGATTACACCCATTTCTCTGCAACCAATACACCAACGCCAGCCTTACCATCATTACTTAGAAAAATTTATACTTTTCACTTGTCCTGCCAATCATTCATGCGCCATTACCTTAACATCTGTCTCTTGTATGCATTATATGTAGTGCATCGACCACTTCTCCCACTCATGCTCCCAACATTCCATATCCCAATTCTTTATCTGTTCCTGGTAAATTAATTCCATCACTTATTATCAGCATCATATTCTATCAGGTTAAATAAAATACATATTATATTCTACATTTAGCCTACACAAAATCTAAATTCCTTTTTTTTTTAGTTGGGCTCAGGAGCTGGAAAAAATAATTTAGGCTTAGGTCAGGCTCGGACACAAAATTTTTTGAAATTTGGACTCGGATCACGAAAAAATCACTTTGCATTTTCAAGTTCGAAATTTTTTTATGTATTTTTTTTGCATCTTAAATTAAGCATTTCACGAGGTATCAGTGTACCCCAAAAAAGAATTGCCATTTTTCATTTTGTTCACTGCTGGTTTATGTTCTTTCACTGCACTTTTAGCTTTACTTACGCATCAATACCCGGAATACATGGGCTCGTTCGCTAAAATGGTATAAAAATAATGTTATCAAAAATGATAATTTAAATTTTTTTTGTTTGAATATTGGACGAATTTGTATTATAAAATGGTATTAATAATAAAAATTCTTTTTTCTCGAAGATGCTATGGGTTAGGGGGGTTTCCGTATTTTTTTGCATGCAATGTTCTCTGGTTTAATACTCTTTTTGAGATAAATTGTGTTAATAAAATGGATTAAAATTTATTTTCTCTAAATGTAAACAAAATTAGGAATTTTGATTTAGAAAATGATTAAGATTTCGCTAAATAAAATAATTATTCATATTTTACTTCTTTTATTAATTAATATTCATTGGCATAAAATTTTTTGGGGAAAAATAAATATATTAGTTTGTTAACGTTATATCGGTCCCTTGTACCTACGTGCTGGAAAAGGTTCAGGTTATTTTGCCGTCTAACATTATTCATCACCTGTCCAGGATTTGATATTTCGCTATTAAATTTCAATAATATTTTTATTCGTCAACCTAGCTATTAATTTTTTTTTAAAAATGTTTTAATTTAAAGAAAAAAAACATGTAACAAAAAAATTATATACTTTTTAAATATTAGCATAAAATGAAGTTAAATTATTGTGAACTCATTTTTTTTAGCTTTATCCTATTATAAACAATTTTAGTATAATAATAAAAAATGATGTAATTGCCAATTATTGTTATCTTTTAAAATGGAAATAATAATCTAATGATCCTTTTTTCTTAATTTTTTTTTAAAAAAAAGCTATATAATTTAAACAGCATTCCTTTTGACTTAGTTTAAAACTTTCAATCTTCTCAAATTAAAAACTATTTATTTGTAATCTCAAAGCTGTTAGTTGCAACTCAAGGACTTAAGATCTACTATCAATTTTGATTAATAATTGATATCGTGATATCAAATTTTACGAATTATCATAATTTATTTAAATAGACGTTTGTTTACAGTTTTGTTAATTATATTTATATAATTTAAAAAAAAATAATTATTATTATTAATGGAATTATCAATATCGTAGTAGGTTACATGAGAAATAATCTAAAAATTTAATCTACATGAAAATATAATTGTCGATATATTATATACTCGTAAGCTACGAAAGTATTACACCAAAAAAAATTTGAGATATCAGATAAGACGACTAATTTTTATATAGCATAATCATTAGAAAACACACTATACATCAGATAGAGATGTTAAAAATAGATATCAAATTAGGGGCTATAAAAAGCTACTTTATTATTAATCAAAGACTACGAAATATTAAAATATATGGCTGATAATAGCCGATTATAACCTATAATAAAGAAATAATAAATCAATCAAACATATAGTTCATTCATAAAACTGCGTAATTTTTTTTATATGGATTTATGTATTTTAGAAATATAAAAATTAAAATAATTCTAAAAAAAGTATATTAATGGCTGATTAAAGGGATGAGTTGATAAGCCGCCATAAAAGGCTGAAAAATTGTGTTAAATATAATCATGAAATGATCTGGGCTCTGCATTTAACATACACATTTACAAAAATGGTTTAAATATTATTTTTGCGTGTATAGGGGGGAATAAAACATAATATCCGTTTAGAACATCATAAAAATGATATTTTACATGTTGAGTGGTGAAAGAAAATAAGATTATTGCATTCGTTTATCGGATTTAAAATAGGAGAGTACCCATGCCTCCCATTTCGCTTTGTTCCTTGACAAATATCTCAAAGTACTGATATATAATGGTAACAGCTAAAAGGATACCAGTTCCACTACCAATTGCGCCTATATAATAATATTAAGAAGATCAAATGTTATTCTCAATAAGGTATAAGGAAAAAATATTAGGGCTGCTGATATTTATCCATAACGGTCCCACTTACGATCCAATTTATATTTATTTATTGTCATTATTATGTATAATATAAGATAAATGGAATTATAAAATCGGTATTCCTACTTAATTTTGGTATAAAAAATTATGTAATTTTATTTGAATAAAAAGTAAAAATAAATTAATATTAAATATTTTTCTCTATAAAGAAAAGAGTCTCAAGTTTATTTATTTCTTATAAGTTCTTTCTTAATAAAAAACAATGGAATAAACAAATATAGACAAAAAAATTTCTTACTAGTTTATAATATACTTTACTTCTTCTATCGTTAAAAAAAATGTAAAGAAATTTTTTTTAAAAATGTCGCTTCACTTCACACTTTCTTTGGGGAAATTATGACAATCTATTTTTTAGAAAGGGGGGAAAATTAGTTCAAAAAAAAGTGAATAATTTGCTTTAAAAAAAATCCACTGGGTAATGTAAAATATCGGCAGATCCGTTATTTCTCTCTAAAGTCCAATATCGGGAAAAAATATGAAATAAAGATATATATTTATTCTATATATATCGTTAAAACCTTATATGATTCATTTTTTTAAACCATGGTATGAGACATTAAAAGCTCTTAATATTATGCAAACAATTTCGAATGTCTCCATAAAATTTTAATATATCAAATGTTAAAACCTAAGAATACATAAATTAAATTCGCTTATATGCTATGCCAGATTATCTACAAGCTCTAAAAAACTAATTTTACTACAAGTATTGAACAGTATATATATATTACCCATAAAATCGGCCATAACTGAAAGAGCCCCTATGCAAAGACCGCCAAAAGCTGCGGCTGTCGGTATATACCTGTTTAGTTCGTGAATCATCGATTTTTCCCGATGACCCCTCATAACCATCTGTTGTTCCTTAAGCTGTTTGGCTACCTAATTCAAATATAATTGTTGAATTAAATAATTGTCTTTTTTAAATATTTCCACATTGTGTATGCGGAAATTACAAAATTGTGTGTAATGTCGTTAAACACTTTTTTAAACCGATTAAGATTTTAGCCAAAATAATATTGTGAGCCTCGAGATTTGGCAAATAGAGGTCCAAACCTTTCTACCATTTATGGGCTCCGAGCTAACATGATATTGTTTTGGGGAAAATCTTAATCGGGCCATTTTTAAAAATCGAAAATACGTTCAACATCACTAATTGTGTGAGACAAAATTTTTCTTCTAAGCCATTTAAATATCATTTATTCACAAAAATTTATTTAAATTCTGGTTTAAAGTGTAAGAAAAAGAAATTTCAATTACATCAATAAAATAAAATAGATAAATATTAAAAAATTACATCTTTGGCGCTTGACCCCGAAACGTCTATCCAAGTTTTGCTGAAGAAAGCGCAAGAGCCCAGCATGAAGATCACGTAAATGACGGCGTGAACCGGGTCGGTTAAAACATGATCAAAATTTTCCGGTGGGGAAAGGTAGTAACAAAGACCGCCTACGGGGTAAGATCTGGCTGGACCACCGCCTCCGACATCCTTTGCAGAGGTGATAAAAAATGTACATATTTATGATGTTAAAAAACAAAAAAAAAATCACAATATTCTGACATTTTAAACTGTAAGTTAGCGACGCGGCATGACCAGACGATCGCCTCATTCATTGAGACCTGAAAAAAAGATCATTCTATATTAAATTTTTTATTAATGTATTTCTAAAATAATTATAAGAATGTGACCTTTAATTTTTGTGAAAACTCCGTTTTTCATCTTATTTATTGGTAAAAAATTGATCGGTGACACGTCGTTGGTTATTCATATAATTTTTAAAAAAATGTCTGATAATTTTTTTCCCAGTATTTTTAAGAAAAATTCAGTATAACAAAATTGTCAGTATTATATTAATTTTACCATTATAAATAATAGGTCAATATCTTAGAATTCAATATAAAATTCATTTTAATAAGTTTGTCAGTATATATAATTATTTTCAGGTATTTATGATTTATAAACAATAATTTTACCCCATATTTTTAATTATATTATTACCTGTAAAATGAATACGTATTTAAATTAATTTACCAGTAAAATAAATTCATATTTTATCTAAATTTTTGAATTGAAAAATATAAAATCATAATTACTGTAAAATGTCTAATTTTTAAAATTTATAAGTTTGTGATATTATTTATAAATAATAGACAGGGTCAAATATTATATTATCTTATTCTAATTATTTTTAAAATAATTACTAGATTTATTATATCATCTATTATTAGAATAAAATAAATAAATGATTAAATTTTAATGTTGTTTGTAGTACAAGAGAATAATATAGAAGTTTAATTAATAGTATATAAATAATTTTTACCAGGATAATTTGTTACCTAGACATTTATTTTATTCGAATATTAATGTTATTTATCCTTATCTACCATAATTTTGCCCAAGAGGCTGGTATAGAAATTTTTTTGTCCCATAATGGGGACAGATTTATAATACTTTAATCGACCTGTATCTGTATGATACAAAAGCCAATTTCATTAAAAAAAATTTTACTGATTAAAATATTGAATAATACTGATATTCTATAATTTATATTGATAAAAAAAAATGCTGAAAATTCCGTAAAAAATCCTGCAAGATATTGGGCATTAAAAATGTGCGCGAATGGATGATTTAGTGGCCAAACTTTGCGTAAAAGTAGGAATGATAAAAATAAATGAATATAAAATATAAGCTTCCATCTTCTTTTCGGGTAATGAAAGAGTAAAGAATGATATGCTAATCTCTTGGCTATGCTTTAAAAATATTTATATAAATTTTGCTTCTAAGTCTATCAGCGATCAATGTTTTACCAAATTTTAGACTTAAATAAGGAATCTTTTATTTATTGAGTAAGTCAACAGTTGTCATTAATATTATAGCTGTTTGAAAGAAGATTCAATAAAACTCATCCAAACATTGTATATTAATATATTATATAAAAAAATTAAAACCTTGATATTAGTAATAGTATATATAAATATATATATATAGTATAGCTTACAGCCCAAACTCCCAATAAGTTGATAAAAAAGTTTCCCCCAAATTTGACAGCGAGCATCTAATAGTTTTAAAAAAATTATTAAAAAAATCCAGGGATATTTACTAGTTGCTAAAAAGCCCGATTAGGTCGATTTAAGATTTTGGCCAATATTATGTAAACTATGAAATTTGGCAAATAAGTCCAAACAGTGCAAAATCTCCAAGCTTACATAATACTATTTTGGTTAAAATCGTAATCAGGCCGTTTTTTAAAATCTATTCAGTCATTTTAACAACACTATTATTTACTCTAATTTCTAATTCTTATATCAATAAACGTAAAGGTTGATTAAAGTATAACCATAACTCATTTATAACTAAAGTTGGGTAATAGACGATTTTTTTTGGCTAATGTCGAATATGGCATTGTCACCCTTAAATTATATTATTATTGTTCACTAAGGGAAACTTAAAAAATTATTACCTACTTTTTTTCCATTAAAAACATTGAAAAGTTTTATAATGACGAATATGAAACTTGTTACCCATATTAAATTATTATAAAAATCGGCTTAGCCTTAGCCAAAAAAATCGCCTAGGCTAAGCGATTACCCAACTATATTTGTAATCTTCCATCCAATTCATAACTTCAGTTTTTGGCATTTTGATTAGCGGTCCCAGGAATTTTATAGTGCTTACAAATTGAAGTGTTAGCGTTTTGCCATAAATTCACTTTCAAATTGCAATGACACTACACGCTTCTGCAGTAAGTCCGAATATATATAGTTCAAATGTTTTCCGCTTATAACGTTTTAAAAACTCGGCTCTTTAAGAATTATTAAGGGCGAGTTATATTGTAATTATATTATTTTTTTTTAAACTTACGGCATGCGTTTTAAAATTTGTACCTGAGATATCACGTAAAGATTCGAAACTAAGGCGCTCTGCAAAATGATGGGTATGTTAGAGGTATAAAATAGTTTGATAGGGTATGAACTGTATTGGCCTCTGTATCTAGCCGATTTGATGGGAAGATCGACTCTGAATCCCTAATATAAATAAATATGTGATTCATCTGCAACGAAATTAATATAAGTTATACCTATATCGAGTATGGGGCTTATATTAACAATAGATACTTTTAATTTTTGTCGATGCCAAACAAATTATTTTAGTTTAAACTAATTTTGCACGAAAAATAATATTTATCAGTATATAATAAAAAGTTTTCCCTTTTGTGCTTCCGTTTCCGATTGATATTTAATTATTTTCTAATGATTTTATTAAGTAAATTCTTTTGTTAATGAAAAATTTTAATATATTTTCCTGGCTATAAATTTTCTAAAAAAAAATCTTATCAAAATCCAAAGAGAAAGAAAAATCTCAAATTCATAATTATTTCATCATTGACGTTATTCATTATAATTTTTATAAATTCTTTTATTATATATTGTAAAAAATTAGAGATCTGTTGGTCAGAATTTGGTCAAAAAAGGGTATGGAAACATGACTCATCCAGGATGGACTTAAAAAACGTAAAGGCGGGTAAAATTTATGCCTTTTCTTTTAAAACAATCCGTAAAATGTATTAAAATTATTTAAATCAATAAAATTATTCGTTGAATCTGATATTTTCTAAAAAATCTTAATGCATATAAAATATAAAATAAATAATATAGAAGAATATACTATACTAATAAATCCGGCCGAAGGGCCGGAAATGGGGCGAGGGTGATATAGGGGTAAAGGCCCCATAAATGATTATTAATAAACTCACGCCTTTGACTAAAAAATATCGGACAACATTACAAGCTGGGCTTGAAAATAATTTTTTTTTTCCAAATCTAGGTGAATCCTATTTTGACCTCTGCAGATATCAAAAAGAATGATTAATTTAAATAAAATATGATAAGTTATTGTGAATGATCAGTGATTTTTTTTTATGTGCCAGGAATTAGTTCTATTTGGTGGTATCAGCAAAAAAGTTAAATAAATGTATCTCTGATTGATATATCATAAGTTGATTGGCATAGTATTGTCCTACGTTCAATTTTGAGCAAAATAGCTTAGAAATTAAAATTCTATATATCCTAAATATAGAAAAGCTGATAAAATTTAATATTTTTAAAAAGGGCCATCCGTAAATGGCAAACTTTTCTAAATTAATCATATCAAAAAATGTTAAGTAATTAAAGCTATATGCGTATAATTGAAATAATCGCCACATATAATTTAAGACTCCATTTTTAAAAAGCCCTAAAAATTAAATAACCATAAAATTCCAAATTGTTAGGCTGTTACTTGAAAGTAAATTACAATGGCAAACACCAAAACGGTAGCTAATAAATTCATGAGGTTGGGTAGGTTTTGTCTGTAAAAAGCTTCCCTCAGGGCTCTAACCTTGTCACTACGAGTGGCTAAGAGATGAAATAAGGCTATAAGGGCTCCCTCAAATTCGGTTCCTGTATAATATATTATCAAGGATCATTAATACATAAGAGCATCTAATCACCTTAAAATATATTCTTAATGAGTTTCTAATTAATAAGGTTAACAAAATAAAGAATTGATATGGAAAGTATGTGTCAAGCTAAATAAAACAATTCTTATTGAAAATTATATTAAATGTAATTTATTTGAATAAATGTACAAATCTCTAAAAAAAATTCTAGTTAAATTCTCTTTTATTAACAATATCAAGAACATGGATAATGATCACCTCAAATTGAACTAATCATATATTTATATAAGTATCCATATGTTTATATTTTCAACTGTAAATCATTTTTTGAGTGAGTTTTTTTTTAATTACATAAATCAGATTTTATTAAAATGTATTTGAGTATGTTTAGAATTACTTATCCTGTGAATTTCAGAAACTTTGGCATTTAACTTTTGAGTCATTTATATAGGACTGTGCTGATATTAAATATCTGATCCAATATTTTAATAGATTTTGGTTATTGTAATATATAATTATGAAATTTTATTCATAATAATAAAAATGAGTTAAATTTATTATAAAAAATAGAGAAAAGTTGAAAATTAAATGTTATTTTTTGTTATATTATCTGCAACAAAAAAGAGATTTATATCTAACAAATCTCATTCTTGTAGTATTATTGAACTTGATTTAACAGATTATTAAAAGGAGTTAACTGAAGATTTTAGCCAAAAATAAATTATTCAAACTTAGAAATTTTGTTCAAAAAATGATAGCAAAATTTAGAGCTTGGGTATTAATATTTAGTAAAAATTTTGATTTTTTTTTCAAAAATTGGCTGAGCCATTTAACAATACTACATAGAGTCCTAATTATTTAGATCATTAATTTTTGGAGAATAAAAAACTATACATTTAAAGTTAGTTGGTTCTCCTGATTAGTAAATATTGATTTTTTTTATGGCATTGGTTCAAATATAGATGGTAAATAAAAATTAATATAAAAATTATACTAATAATATAATATCGGTGAAAAATTTATGGATCAGAATAGTCTTTTTTATAATTTAAATAAATAAATCTATAGAAAAACTAATATAAATTATATTAAGGTTAAAAGTTTATGGCAAAATTTTCTAAAAATCATAAGTAGAATTTCTATGTGTTGTAAGAATACATTTCCAGCATGATCAATTCAAAATTTAACCCCCCTCCCCCTTTCAGAATGAATTAAAGGTGAAAAAATAACACATTGACTGAAAAAACACATTGACTGAAAAAACACATTGAGGCTAACATATGTAATAAATATATACCTCTTCCTGTGTTAACTGTAGCAGGACTGAAGGCCTTCCAAACAATGGTTTCACAGATATTTGTTGCAATAAATAAGGAGATACCAGAGCCCAGACCATATCCTTTTTGTAAAAGCTCATCTAAGAGAAGGACAATTAACCCAGCAACAAATAGCTTTTTAAATATAAATAAAAAAATAATACTGAAAATGAATATAAATGCGAATAATTTGTTTTATATAATAGTTTAATATACAGCATAAATTATTTGTATTTATAAGGAAATAAATTAATTTTTTATCAAATATGAATTTAGTTTTTTTAAAAAAAATACTTGTATTATGATGAGCAAACATATGCCAGCACCTATCTCAGCAGGATCACCATACATACCAGTCATAACATAAACTATAGCTTGACCAATTGTGATGATAATACCAAAAACTATTTAATATAATTAAACTTTAAAAAAAATTTATAATGTACGTTTTTGAGCTCCATTAAATAATGCTCGATCTTTTGGAGTGTCTCCTACTTCAATAATTTTAGCTCCAGCTAAAAGCTGCATAATCAAACCAGATGTAACAATAGGTGAAATACCTAATTCCATTAATGTCCCTAATGGTTAAAAAAATAAATAAAGTAATGAATATATGCTCTAAAATTTGAACATTTATTTTTTCTCAAATTTTTATAAATTATATATATAATTTTACCCCTATTTGAAGCCAAAATTACTCTTATCCAATAAAAAGGATCAGCACTGTCAGACGACATGATACCAAAAAGAGGGATCTAATAAATAAGAATAACTTTCTTAAAGAAAAAAATTTACTTGGCAACAAACTAAAAAAATAAATAAGGTTATAGCAGTCCATAACACTTTTTCTCTAAATTGTATCTAAGAAAGGAATTATATATATATAATTGGAAAAATTAATCAAATACTTTTCTTTCTGGTTTAGAAATTTCAGGTAAAATCCCACAAAAGGGTTTAATTATTTCTAAAAACTTAACTAAAATATAAAAAAGACAAGTTTAATAATAATAAAATATATATATAAGTGGGTATTTATTATAATTTATAAAAAATTTTGGGCTTACTCGTCATAATGAAATTTTATATTACATATATTTTGTGTATGTAACGAAACGTGTAAGCTTTTTTTTAAAAAAAAAAGTATAATAATATTTTGGAAAATAATATTATCCTCTAGAAAAATACCATTTTATATCGAATTTATATTTTCCTCATGTAATGGAAATTGCAATGGAAAGTGTATAAAAAGGATAGGGATTATCTTTAGTAATTCTTTCAAATTTTTTAGTCTCTATCATCACCTTTTCCTCATTTAAATATTGATTTTTTAAAGAAGCTTAAAAAATTGAACTTAACATCCTACTGTCGTAATTGTATATGACCTATTTATTTAAGTTTGCTTTAATCAGTTATTTTTCATGTAATTTATATATATATATATACTTTTATTATTAATTTATGTTTGTTTAAATAATCCATTTTAATCGATATATACAATTATAATAATAATAAAAGAAGTTGTCTAAAATAAATTATATAATAATTTAATATAATAGTATATATAATATGTATTTTAGATAATATAGATAATTCTTTTGATTATTCTGAATAAAGAATTCGTAAATTAAAGTGAAACAGCCTTATTACTTATAGTTATAACCTCAGGTTGCTCTTTTGAAATTTTGGGCATAATCAATGGCTCAGATAAAGCAGAGCAATATTTATATTTTTATTTTCCTTAATATGGAAAGCAGGGTTATCAAAAGTTACGAATAGCGTTGCCTTATGTAACGTAAAGCAACTTTTTCTTTGGCTAATTTTATTAATAAACCAAACAAAAGCAGATTAAATGATATTATATTTGAAAAATTGATCTTTATCAAATGCTTTAAATTATTATATTTCATTGTTACTGTTGAATAATTGAGATCAGTGGCGTCACTAGGGGGGAGGGCGCAGGGGCTCGAGCCCCCTAATTTGAAGAGCCCCCTGAAGCAAAAATTTTTTTTTTAATGGCTCCTTAATATCCCCTTGAACTAAAAATGAATTTTATGATAGCTACCTAAAAGATTTCTTTTATAATTCCATTAAGTAATATATAGATTTGTTATTATTTAGAAATTAATAAGACTATTTAAATTTTTATTAAATGAATACTATTTTAATTATTAGATTAGATTAATACATATAAATTATATTTTCACTATGTCAGCTTGCAATCAAATTCTGTATTATAAATATAATATCAATAACTCACTAAATATTAATTTAGCTTTAACAGTTTAAGTTTAATTGACTTTTATTATTTAAATTATTATATAACCCTAATTAAATAAATATAATCATATATTATTTCATAATTAACAAATTTAATATTGTAATTAGCCGAGTTTAAAATGACTGATCAACGGTATATTTATTTTTAAATTTAATTATCATACCTATTCCTAAAAATATTTTCAAGATCCAAATAAGTATAAGAGATTACTTTATAAAAGTAAATAAATAGAGATATAGTTTAAATCCTATATTATATACAGTTGGTTATAAAATATTAGATAAAATGCCACTTTTATAGAGGTATTTGACAACTATATAATATATTACAGTTAATATTATAATAAATTTTACTAATAAATGGTTTTGATAATAAATATAGTAACAATATGCATTCAAGTATTTAACGCCATCTATTCTTTATAAATAATTTTAAAATTAGACATTTTATTATTCATCTAGCAATAGATGTATTAAATTTGATATCTTTTCTACTCTTTTCTATTTTTTGTTTTTCGAAAAACAGGTTTGAATTAAATTTTTAATACAAGTATATTTTTGATATTATTACAAACTACTTTTATTATAAGATATAATATCGACAATATATAAAATCTTAGTTGTTTCATTATATCATTCTGGTCCTTATTTTATAGTTAGAAAATGTTTCATTTCTAATATGGCATTGCTGTGTGTAAATAACTCCAGGCTGCAATATATTTGCATAATTATTTCTTTCAAAATTTTTAGTGTTTTTATTTTATCAATTTATCCATCATAATAAATTCTGATATAAGTTTAATCGTGAGTGTCATGGCTATTACTGCAAATTAACCAGTGTATATTATTTGTGTTGCTATGTAATTTAAGATTATTACAACAACGGCTGAGAGAATATGATTTCATATTTTAGATAAACAAAATGGTCAATTGTATAGTCGTTTATATATCATTTAAAATGGGAGATAATCTTTTAGAAATTTAATATCTCACGATAATTTTCTCGATTACTTATCTAGCTTCCATTATGTCATCTAAAAGGAAGCTCTAACCACTATATAGTTTTATGATTTGGATTGGTCGTTTATACTCTTTTCTTCAAAAATTGTTGATTTGGTAGAGGCCTATAAAATTTTTCCTTATAAGCTTATTGTATAAAACATTATCTAAAATGGTAACAGAGAGTTATACTAGTTTGATAACCTTTTGTCAATGTAAGTTGCTAAGAATAATATTATTGCATTATGTGGTTTTTTATATACCAGTTTATTTTGTATGCATAATATAATAAATGACATAATATGAAAATCAGAATAATTGTTCAGAGTTAACTAATTTTAAAAAGTATAATATATTAATATAAAACCTGAGATTGTAAAGGTTAGCGACGCCCCTGATTGAGATTATGCCTTTCGGTCAAAATTTTATATTAACATTTTTTTATATATCATTTTAATGTGACATTTTTTTTTATTCACCTTGTATTTAAATTTAATCGGTGAAAATTTTATATTAACATTTTTTTATATCATTTTAACTTTACATTTTTTTTAATATCAATTTCTATTTCACACAATTAGTTATTTTTTTATTGTTTGATATCTAAAGAGAAGTTGTTTTTGTTGAAAGTGATAAAAAATGTAATTTATCATTGAAAATAAAATGTAAATTATCATTGAAAATAAAATGTAAATTATGATTAAAAATAAAATATAATTTATAATAAAATAAAATGTAATTATGATTAAAATAAAATGTAATTATGATTAAATAAAATATAAACGAGGATTTAACACTATTCATACATGGAGGCCAAATTACGACCGAACTTTGCGTAAGTATTATATCAAAATTCGATCTTGTTTTTGGAATGAATATCTATTCTATTTTAAGCCTTTATCGATTATAATTCTCTTACGATGGATGCTTTGAACAATTCCACATATATGACTGAATTCGTCAAGCTGGATTTCCCCAAATTTAGTAGCGATGACAGCGCCTACATAGGGAGTTTGCAGAATTTCTCTGACACCAGCAAGATCTCCAACGGAGAAAAGGCCGCTTTGTTTCTCCGAAGTCTTGTGACGAATTCAATAACATTGGAGCGATTTGCACTGAGGCAGACTTACAGGACCCTATTGCCCTGCTTGGCAAATTCAAGCTACAACATCCATCTAAGACTGAGAATGCCAAACTGTCATTATTTTATGCTGACTCTCAAGGCATGGAGGAGACGTTCTCGGCTTTCAAACGTGTAACACGACTCAATAAAGAATGCAAATTCAATGGCATTCAACGCATTATTGAGAAAGTGAGAGTTGCTTCGAAATCCAAGATGTCAGGAAAGCGGTCAGGAGCTCTTTGACTATAGAAGATATTTACAATCAAGGTCTAGAGGAAGACATCACTCAGCCAAGTGACATCAAGGGCGTGATGTAATTATTTCATTTGAATGAATTACCTGGAATACAAGAGGTTAATCACATGGGCAGAGTCAAAAATAGTTACGTAATAACAAAACCCATTCAGGACTCTCACGCACATGGTAATAATTAACCCAATTCATCAATGACAATCGCCCCGGACAGCATTTTGATGAACGTTACTATGTACGCTGCGACTATTGCCACGACAAACGATTTGATGAACGTTACAAGATATGCTACGATAACGGCCACGACAAACGATTCGAAGGGCGGCACAGCAACTTCCACGACAATCGTTTTGATCAAAGCTACGATAATTGTCACTATAACCTCAACCGTTTCGATAATCGCAACGATAACTACTACAACGATCGATACAACAATAGCGGGTAAAACGTCCATGGCAATCGCCACGACTATCATTGTGACCATCATCAAAGCTCTGATCGACGTAATGACTGCTATAGAAGTGATATCCGAACCAACTATTCCCGTCGTGGTCAGCAAAGTCACAACCCTCAAAATATTAAAGGTTTCCCGTAATATTCGTCGAGGCCCAACCAGTACAAAACGACAACAATACTTACAACAGATCTTCTGATTAAAAAGATCGTGATTATCAATTGAATACGAACCCTGCTATTAACATCGAAGTAATCGATGATGGCGACGACTCAAACACAGACCTTAAAGAATATAATCTGTAGAATTTGGAAGTGTGCAATCTGGGGGTTAACGATACCAGATATAACGCATACAACGTAACGGTGAGCATTAACAACATACCCACTATGATGCAAGTTGACACCGGTAAGAGGTACACTATACTTCCGAAGTTGACAGCTAACACTCTAGGCATAACCACGATACGTAAGACGGATATGAAACTCACTGGTTATGACGGCAACGCCATCAAGATATTAGGTCTTGCCAATGTGAACGTTAAGTATGAAGGTAACTCACAAACGCTGGAGGCCATAGTGGTGGATTGTGACAAGATCCCCCTGCTAGTGCGTATGTGGCTCCACGCCTTCAACAACATATTAAAAACGTTCTTAGTGGGTAACATAGAGAATGACCTCGAGAAGGTAATCTCGACAACAAAAAAAGACGTCGAATCAACTTACTCCTACAAACTCAAAATAGTCAAACAAGAGAAAGTTCACTTGAAGCCCGATGCTGTGCCTAAGATCATAACTTCAAGGAGAATTCCGTGTGCCAAGATTGATATGATGACTCAGAAATTGGGTGGGTGGTTGAAGGACAACATAAACCTTGAGAGGAATCTAGATGCCCCATGCCATGCACAAATGATCTGTTCGCAAGGTTAGCTAAGGGCTGCCTTTACTTTACCAAGCCATCGTTAGGTTTGAAAAGAAGACCGCACCATGAACATGGGTGGCGTATTTAGTGGCGA